GGACAAAAATCCGATTAGTGGATGTCAGAGGTTAAAGAAAAAGTAACTATAAAGGGACATAAGGAAATTTTTTGGAGGGAAGGAAATGCTCTATGTCTTGATTGCGTTGGTAGCTACACTAAATGTATACATTTACTAAAATTCATCAAACTCTTAAGAGTAAATTTTACTGCATGTAAATTAATACCTCAATAAACATAACAAAAAAAATTATCCCAAGTAAAAAGAGTGACACATTTCACTATCAAGATTCTACAACTCATGCAAGCTTCTGGATTTTGTCACTTAAAAAAATAATAAAATCTTCCTATTCCCTATGTAGCGGGGGAAGCCAGAGCCCAGGTGAGCTAAGGAGGGTGTCCATGTGGTGGGGAACCAGACAAATGTGTTGCGTCTGAGCCCTGCCCAAGCTCTGTGAGGATGGTGTCAAAACAGAGGGGCAACAGGCATAGGGCGTCAGAGTGCAAACGGAATGAAGACATCATCCTCTTCAAATGGAGACAGCCTTCCTGGGATGTCAGAGTCTGAATGGAGTAAGAAATGTGTCCATAAACAGTGAGGAGGTCGCCAGGAGAGTCAGAGCCAGAGCCAGAGCCAGAGCAGGGTGGGAAGGGCATTCCTGTATTAGGGCATCTTGGTATGGGCTATTAGATTCTGCATTTTAAAAGGGTGAATTGCTGGAGTCAGGAGAAGAAAGAGTAGAATGAAGAATCTGCACCCCAGCAAGGTGAAGAGAAATCCAGGGAGTCATGACAGAAATGAAAGATTGGTCCATACATTTAGAATAATGGAAGTCAGATTCCACACTACCAGAGGGTGGAGGAAAGCTGTCATGTCAATTCTGACCCACAGCAACCCCATGTGTTACAGAGTAAAACTGTTCCATAAGGTTTTCTTGGCTGTAATCTTTATAGGAGCCAACTGCCCAAACTTTCTTCTGTGGTAGCGCTGGATAGGTTCAAACCACCAACTTTTAGCAACAACCATTTTCACCAAGAACGTTACAAATATGAAAAGGGCACTAGAGTGATGGGTTGAAAACAGAGGTATCAGTGTGAACCGTGCTTTTTAACATGTACATACATCTCAACTCATTACCCATTGCCATCACGTTAATTCCAACTCATAACGACACTACAGAACAGAGGAGAACTGTCTCATAGGGTTTCCAAGACTATAATCTTTACAGAAACAGACTGCCACATCTTTTTCCCAGTGGCTGGTTAGTACAAATTGCCCACCTTTGAGTTAGCAGCCAAATGTTAGTCACTGCACCACCAAGATTCCTTAATAATATATATACAGACATACAGAAATAAATGCAGGTAGATGTAAATGTGCATACGTATCCCGTCTAGTACTGTCCGTTAAAAAGGGGTGGTAGCAATAACAACCCAAAAGTAATGAATACACCTAGCACTGAAATAACTTCTCAATTTTATTCTCTACTATAGGAATCAGGGTTCCCTAGAGAAAGGGCTGATTCCAGGTCCAAGACAGGGAAATATAAGATAAGCACAGAATGTCCGTTTGTGCTAAAAGGTAAAGGACATGCTCAAAAAATGATGGAGGCACCTCATAAGGATAGATGTCAGTTGAATGGACACTGGTCAAATCAAAATACATAGTAACAGAGAGGAATCCACTGAAAAAAACACAAAGTCAAGAATGCATATGAGCCTTGGTATGGCACTATAGGATAAGCACTGGACAGCTAAACGCAAAGTTGGCTGTTCAAACCCACCAGCTACTCTCAGAAACCCTATACAGGGTCGCTATGAGTCAGAACTGACTCAAGGGCACACAACAAGAATCCATATAGATAAAAATGAACAAACTAAAGCTTGCCTAAGAGCAAGATATTTACGTAGTTTTAAAGTACTCCTCACAAAATTTATTGTTATTAGCTGACAAGGTCAACTCATGTTGTTGTTGCTATTAGATGTCATCGAGTCAGTTCCCACTCTTGTCAACCTTATATAGGATTTCCGAGGAGTGGCTGATGAGTTTGAATCACAGACCTTTAGGTTAGTAGTCCAGTGCTTATCCTACAGCACCACACCAGGACTCCATAGCAACTAGTAAATGTTAATGGGCCAAACAAATTGTGCACCATCTGAAAAGATGCAGTGAGAGCACAGCATCACTTCTGTGATTATTGAGTGACGTTGAATTGGTTCCGACTCATAAAGGTTGCTGAGGAGCACCATTGACCTTGAGATGAGCAGTCCAGTGCTTTTCCTATAGCCCTACACCGAATATCCCTGTCCAAGTGCATAACCTGTAGCTAATCATGAGAGAACAAATGATCCCAAATTGAGGGGTAGTCTACAAATTAACTCATCTGTAATCTTCAAAAGCATCTAAATCATGAAAGTCAAGAGAAGATGGAGCAAACCGTTCCTGATTGAAGAACAGAGATTAATAACAAAGACAACATGTAATCCTGAACTGGACCCTCCAGTAGAGACTAATGGCAAAATCAACAAAAACTTGAACAGGTCGGAGAGATTTACAGCCTTGGAAACCAATTCAATGACACACAGCAGCAGCAGCACGTATCAGGGCTAATTTCCTGGTTTTGATTATTGTATTGTTATTATGTTAGAGAAGAATCGATGCATTTCAATTATGATGTTGGTGAAGAACACTAAAATTACCATGGACTGCCAGAAAAACAAGTCTGTCTTGGGAGAAACACAGCCAGAATACTCTTTAGAAGCAAGGATGGAGAGACTGCTCATGTACTTTGTTAATGTTATTAGGAGGGACCAGTCCCTAGAGAAGGACATCATATTTGGTAAAGTGATAAAGAAGACCCTCAACAAGATGGACTGACACAGTGGCTACAAGAGGCTCAAGCATAACAAAAATTGTTTAGGATGACACAGGACCCTGCAGTACTTTTTTCTGTTGTATATAGAGACACTATGAGTCGGAACCGGCACCTAACTTAACTGCTGCTGCTGTGTGCCGTGGAGCCGGTTCCAACTCATAGTGACCATGCACAGGGTTTCCAAGGCTGTAAAACTTTACAGAAGCAGAACGCCTCATCTTTCTCCCACAGAACAGCTGGTAGCTTCAAACTGCTGACCTTGCGGTTCGCAGCCCGATTCCTAACCACTACCCTACCAGAGCTCCTTGGCACCTAACTGCAATTGTGATTATGTAGGAGAGTTTCCTTGTTTGTAGAAAATGCACACAAAAGCATTATGGGTGATAGAGCATCAGGTCAGCAACTTCCTCCGAAATGCTTCTGGGAAGAAAAAAATGCTCTTTGTACTATACTTGAAACTTTTCTACAAGTTTGTGATTGTTTCAACTTTTTCTATACAGTGGCGGAAATATACTGTAACTAAAAACTACACAACTGTGGTTATTTACTCTAGTTTATTTCTCCACACTGTTAACCTTAGCAGGAAAGAGGGCACTACACAAAATTACTAGAAAATTATATGAAATTTTGGAGCCAGAGAGCATTTTAAATATAGCCAACCTCTTGTCTTATCATTTGACTTCACTCAAAGAATGGATAAGGTTCCTAGTAAAGGAAGTTATTACGAAGAGAAAAGAACAATGGTATTCTAACATTACGAATGATTGTGTTGTTGTTAAGTGCTGTGGAGTCAACTCCGACACACACGGACCTGTAGAGGGTTTCCCAGGCTTTAAATCTTGGCATGAGCAGAATACCTCATCTTTTGCAGACCTTGGTTCAGTTATCCTACGTCCACAGCTTATCATATGTATGGGAGTCACCGCGCCTCCACCAAAGGCTTTAACCATAAGCAAAACACAATCCCAACATCTCCTTTGAAAAATGAAAGGGCAGTAAGACTAATACCTAAAATTTCTTACAAATGTGAGATTGGGCTTACCCTGAAATAAGTGTTTCCCTAGCTCCATTTGTTACTGCATTATGCTTCACTACAAAGAAATACAAATACAAAAATATACGGAAACCTAGAATCTTACATTGTGAAAGTCCGTGCTTTACAGTGCATTTGCCAAATTGTTACTTGGTGGTGGTGGTAGTTGTGTGCCGTGGAGTCGCTTCCGACTCATAGCAACCCTGCATAGGTTACTAAATCTTTATAGGAGCAGAAAGCCTCATCTTTCTCCTGCGGAACCGCTGGTAGTTTCAAACTGCTGACCTTAAGGTTAGCAGCCCGACTCGGAACCGCTAAGCTACCAGAGCTCCTTAAATTGTTACTTATAAAGGAAATTTTGTGACACTGCTCCAAACACACACACACAAAAGAACAATTAAAACACACATTAAAGTGAAACAAGATAACTTCCAATGATCAGTTGACAGTCCTCACTTTAATAATAGTGTTCAGAGTCATTCAGAAATGATCGTCACTTTTGTCCTAGAAGAACAAGGCGCACTTCCTAGAAATGTTTCCAAGTGTAAGGTTCCTTTCCCGTTCCCGGGTATCTCGCGGTCACTGGGGCAGCTATAGGCCCCCACGAGCGCAAGGGTGAGTTAGCACGGGACTCTCAGCACTTCCTCTCGGAGAGGACAGCCCCCTGCGTCACCCGTAATTCGTAATTCGCTCAGGATGCAGGGCACAAGGTTACCCCGAGAAACTTAGCACAGTTGGCTCCCGCCCTCCCAATCCTGCGGTCCTGGGCCCATTCGCAGGATTGGAGAGCGCAGCCACAATACCAGGCCCCCTCCGGAGACAGAGGCTCGCCGCCCCAGACTTGCCCCACGCTGGCCCGGAGAGTCCGCCCTAGCCCCC